TCCCAACTGGTGAATGAGGAAAATACAAAGCTAAAAGTAAAGCAAAAGGTAAAGCAGCTAAATGTAGTGGGTGAAAGTTTAAGGAGAAACAGAATATTTGCATAGTCTCAAAGTATCTCTCCCCAAATACGTATTAGTTGCAGACAGGAACATAATAAGATCAGTGGAGAAATCTAATAGACATCACTTTAAGCAATCGATGAATGTTAACCAGTAATAAGACAGACATGATGTACCTCCGGATATGAGGCTTCAAGAAACACACAGTATCTCTTCCGTGGTATTCTTCCCAAAATGCATAACCACGATATAGTCATGAGAAATCATGACAAATCCCAATTGAGGGACATCTTACAACATAACTGACCAGAAGTCTTCAAAAATCCCGAGGTCATGAAAGACAAAGACTGAGGAAGGAGACAGGACAAGTTAAGTGCAATGTAGGATCCTGGACTGCATTCTGAAACAGAAAAAAGACATTAGTGAGCAAACTGATGACCCTCAAATGAAGTTTGTTGATTAGTTAGTTGTATTGTACCCATTTTAGTTTGTTTTGATCATTGTACCATGATTATGTAAGAGATTAATATTAGTGGAAGCTGGGTGAAGAGTATATAGGAGCTCTGTGCTGTTTTTGCAACTCTTCTGTGAATCTAAAATTACCTCATAATACAGTTTGTAAAATTTATCTTGGTTAGTATGAAAAATTACATAATCACCCTTTTACTTTTATTGGGTTCTCATGTGTACTCCCAGTTCATACAAATATAAAATTCTTACCCCCTCTATATTCCCACAACACCTTGTTTTCTTCACTTAATATATATCCTGGAGACTTTCCATATAAGTACATGGAGAGATTCTTCATTTCCCTTTCCAGTTTTTGATTATGTAAAATTTTTAATACAGAAAACTGATAACAATGGTACAGACACCCACATACCACCACCTGTATTTCCTCTTCTTCTTTTATTAAGCATATGATATTCCACTGTATGGTGTTAACTCATGTATTTCTCATCTCATAGTTAGAGGCTGAAATTTCTGTCTTGACTCACTGCTGTCAGAATGGAGTGGAAAATGGGTAGGAGATGAAATCAAATTGAAAAGCATGGGCTTTGAAGTCAGATAGACCCAAGTCCAGATAACCATTCTGTCACTGGCTGTATGGCCCTAGGCAAGTTCCTTAACTTCTTCAAATCTCAATTGCCTCCTCAGTAAAATGGGATTAGAACTACTACATGTTAAAGCTACAGCCAGGATCTTACGAGGCGCTATACAGTCAGCCCTCTGTATCTATGGGCTCCATATCCGAGAAGTCAACCAACCTCAGGTCAAAAATTTTCAGAAAAAGAAATTCCAGGAGGCTCCAAAATGCAAAAATTTGCTGTGGTGGACAACTAAGAGTGCCGGGCAGCTAAGAGTAAGACACAGCCTCTGTCAGCAGAATTGCAAATTTATTCATTAATTCACTCACTCATGTATTTATGTAACATTTACATTGTATTAGGTATTATAAGTAATCTAAAGATGATTTAAAGTACCCAGGAGGATGTGCATAGGTTTTACCCTTGGATTTTGGTATCCTTCCCCCACAGATGGGGACAACTGTATATAAAACAGCCAGCACAGTAGATGAGATTTGATAGATGATACACACTGTTACTATTATTTAATCAGAAAAATTTCAGAAATATATGGCAGCTGACCTGTGTAAACTAATCTAAAGAACACCCACGTTCCTTCCTTTCGCTGATTATGTGTCATCCTATTAAGACCAAAAGAATACTCTAATTTTCGGGAAGATAAAACAGCTGGAGCAACACTGCCATAACCTTGATCTTGTCCTTAAGTTTGGTCAATAGAATAATATGAAAATCTACTTAACCACAAAGTTTAGTTGGTAAAGCTAAGTGACAGAGACCTTATAGGAAGCACTGTTACTCTAGACTGATTCAACTAACATTCATCTTTTCAGCCCTGGGCTGATTCACCAGTTTGGTAAAAAGTCGGATGCCTTCAAATTTTAATCTCTATATCCAGAGTCAATACTTGACCAAAGGTCCAGACTGCCCACATCAGGTGAGGAACCAGTTAGTGAATTTGCCATTCTCATTCCTCCACTGTACCAACAACATATGAACACTTTTTTGTGTGTGTCTGCATTTCTTTATCCACAGAATATATTTCCAACTCCAAGGGGAACCAGGTACAGGTAATTCTGCTGTTATTTGTGTAACTGCAATGTCAAATCATTGCCAGCTCTGGAAGAAAGCAGATACCTTTTCCTGGCCTACAGAGTCTC